AGAGAGAGAGAGAGAGAGAGAGAGAGAGAGAGAGAGAGAGAGAGAGAGAGAGACAGACAGACAGACAGACAGATAGCATTTCGCATCGCGCGTTAAGCATGTTCGCCGAATCAATGCGATTTGACAGTATGCTTTTAGTCGTCGAGTCGTCTAGCCGTGCGTCGTCGTTGTCGTCTGTGCAATTGCGCTGTTCGACGCTCCGTTAAAACACCCGACTCGGTTCCCGATGTTTTCGTAATGCTTCTCCCCGGCCGAGTTTCAGTGGCCGCTCGTTTGCCCTCGCGGACGCATAAAGTACACCCGAGACCATTAGAAGCGGATTTACGCGGCTTCTTCTTCTTCTTCTTCCTCCTCCTCCTTCTCCTGCCTCTCCTCCTCCTCTGAGGGAGCTCGTTTCTCAAGACGGGAGGTAAGAACCCACGGCAAAATGGAATTGGATCTCGCGCTTGTAAGCCTCGCGCCTGACTTCCGTACGTGACGCTAAGCATTTATACGGCCGTATTCCGCGCGGCCGCCGATAAATCCGGCTGCAGTATCCGCGTGGCGCGTGGAGATGCCTATTATTATGCCGCCGGCAATATCGCATGGACGATAATTTTCAGTCCTCCCTCCCCCCCGGGGGAAAAAGCGCCCGGCTGCAAGGCTCATCTGAAGCAGCAGCTCGTTCGACTGCGATACCCGCGAGAGTGCCGCCGTCCCGACGTTACGTGAGAAAAATGGCTCGTCGCTTCGCAAGGCGAGGCGAGGCGACGCAACCCTTGCCAGGCGGGAGAAACAGCGAGCGGAGGGAACGCGACCACTGACAAGACCAGTAAGACGGAATTCGATTCTACCCGGCTATAACGGTAGCGCGTTGCATTGTCGGCAAATTGAGGAAGCCAGGTTCTGGCAGGTGGAGATACGCCGCGACATCCTCGGCATCGGAGACTAGGATGTAATTCCCGTTCCCTCGGGGAAACGATCGTACCCATTCCGTTCGCCAACGAAATTAGAGAGATTTCTTCGTTATTATGTCTTATTAGATGTTCACGTCGAGATACACGGCCACTCAACGATCCACGCTCCGTCTCCCGGCAATCCCCCGCGCTCCTCCAAGTAATACACCCTCGTGATTGAATGATATCTCGTCCTTGTAATCATGGATATAAGAGGAGTACGTATCGTTAATTTAAGTAAGGTATATACGATTTGTGGTAAAGATCACGACAAAAAACAGTCTGTTGGACCAATCTTTGATGAAATATAAACGAATCAGAAGATTTCGGTTACCAGAATTCTGTTCGAGTCGAGAAACTTTGTTAATTTGAACAGAATTCTAGTGAACAGGAAATTCCGGTTCGTTCATATTTTATCAAAAATCGATTTGTGGTCCAATTAAATTTTTTCCCCGTGAATAAGTTACAATATTTTTTTTCTAAAGTACAGTCAGTATATTCTTCAACAAAATACTATACTTATAACTTATAGTTCATAAGTGAAGCACTGTAAAATCTTGCTGGAAGGATCACTTTTGCGAACACGAACGATGTTATCGCACGCAAAGTGCATGGAAGCCGCTGATTCCGTCATCATAAGCGCAGAAAGTTGGATTTGGTATAAAGTATAACGAATTTGCGAGTGTTGCAGATTTTTTGCAGTGAAATCTTGTTTCCACTGATGAAAATGAGAGAAAAATAAGACGAAGCAGTGAAGTGGGGATGTTTTAATTAAAAATCAGTGAACACTCACTCACTGATGATCTGTGAGACTCCTTTCGGTGATCCGCTTTAAAGGAGCTCGGTCATACAGAGAGGAGTCACACAGAGAAACGGACATCGCGAGGGAGAATACATCGTCCAGATATATTCTTACGTCGACGGTCGTAATGAAGAATAATTTGGCGCGCAACGTTCGTCAAAACTTTCCTCGCAACTCATGACACTTGAAAGGCAAACTTTCGCGCCAACTATATCTCGTCCTCCCCGCGCCAACCCACCAGGCGTGATCAGAAGTCTTTCTTTTCTCGAAGATACATTTTTCATCGACGCGCCCCGTATCGCTGTTCCCGACCCGGCAAACTTCGAATCCCGACAACCCCGATGGTCTATGTGTATGTGGAAGTTTTTCTTTTGTCGCGATAACCGAATCGTATCAGGAAATCGAACTTTCCGCCTGACCTCGGGTTCCTGGGGATACTATTGGAAAACGACGGTTAGATATTTGGTAATATCAGGGTTGATACCATGAAACGCGATACGGTTTCAATCAACTGATATCACTGTTATTATGTTTCTGGAAATTTCCCTCTGTGTCAGAGGAATAACGATTCTATCAGTTTAGTCGTTACAATTGAGCGATTCAGAGGATATCGTCACAATTTCGAAGGTTCTCACGTAGAAAATTTTTTGGGATATAATCGGGACCGATCTTCCAAAATAACTATGCGTTCTAGTTGGAAGGGTTCTGGCAATGTTTCAAACATGCGATTCCAAAATGGAGAGAAATCCAAAAATTTCCCAATACTTTTTCTAGTCTCCATTTTAAGTTAGAAGTGAGTAAAACATACTGACTTTCTACGTAATTTCATTATTCAGTAAAAATAGTACTTAAGTGCTAAAATATATACCACTATTTAAGAATAAAATATTTATTAAATTTTTATATGTTTCATTCTGTCGAATACAATAGTTGGTGTAAAAATGGAAATCCTGTTTAATCCGTAAAAGTATATTACCGACTGCAAAAAAACGCGAGTTGTATTTCATAGTATTTTTTATTCCATTCTAGCCAGGGAGTATGGAATAATATTTCCATGTTTGGAACAGGAATGGAATTCCGAATTGATATCGTGGTGAAATAATCAATTTTGGGAACAAATTTGAGTATTTCAATGGGAACTCATGTCGCTCAAAACTCATTTGGGAAAATTTTAGGAGACTTTGATACGAGTTGTCGCGACGCGAACTGACGCAACTATTAAAAATTGTCGGGAAAATCCGCGTAAAAAATATTACTCACCAACGTATTAAATAGCGAGCATTATGATGTGTAAAGGTTGTAGCTCGCATCCGAGTGTGCGTACAGTGTATGTGAGATTAAGCCAAAGTA